AAGGACCTGCCCTGGACACAGAGTGGGAAATCAAAGGGAAGTTCCCTCAGAGAAAACCGAGAGGGAGGAAGGGGCAGAAGAGGCAAAGGAAACAGGAGGAGGTAGAATTTTGTAATGAGGGTGAGGTTCTGAAAGAGGAAGGAAATCCAGGAAGTCACTAAGTCTGGGGCCAGGGTTTCAAGGGTTAGAACCCTGTGGCTGAGGCCAACAAGGATCTGACTGAAGGTCGGGGCTACTGACCCACGGCTGTTGGGAGCCATGAAAAGTGAGAGACTGAAGGAGGGCCATCACCAGCATGAGTGACACAGAGATTTCTTTAGTGTGGAGAAGAAGAGGGTGGGGGAGTTGAGGCAGGGCCCCGGGGGAGGAAGGGATGTTTGGAACACTGGGACAAGGCCACCTTCTCTGTTGGCAGCTGAGACAGGGCTGGCTGGGCTTGGCCAAGACAGAGCTGCTCTGTTCTCAGCCCTCACAGAGGCTCTTGAGCTCATGAATTTTTTAGCCAAACAGATCTTGAGTTTCAGATTCCAGAGTGCTCTCTCTCCTTCCCTCCCTCCCCCCCCCTCCCCCACTTCTCTCTCCTCTCTCCCCCAATCTCCACATTTCTATTTGGAGGCCAGAGGACAATATTTTATTTATTTTGTGCATACATGCACAACCTTCTGGAGTTGATGCTCCCCTTCCACCATGTGACTCTCAGGGACTGAACTCAGGTCACTGGGCTTGGCAGCAAGCTCCTTTACCCACTGAGCCATCTTACCAGTCCTCCACCTTGTTTTTTTGTTTGTTTGCTCATTGTTTTGGTTTTGAGACAGGGTCTTCCAGTAGCATCAGCTGACCTGGAACTTGCTAGGTAGACCAGCCTGGCCTTGCTCTCAAGGAGATCCATCTCTCTCTGCTCCTGAGTGCTGGAATTAAAGGTGTACACTGCCATGCCTGGTCCTTCCAACTTGTTTATGGAGATGGGGTCTTTCAGGAGCTCGCCAAGTAGGCTAGACTGGCTGGGCAGTGAGCCCCAGGAATCTGCCTGCCTCCTCCTCTCCAGCCTTGGGATTGATTTTTCAAGAGTCATCTCCACAATCTGAGAGTGATGCTAAAGTCCAGGGCTGGGGTGAGCTGAGCCCCACTGTGTGGGTCACCCACTGAGCAGGGAGCTATAGAAACATGACGGACTCTGTCTTCTGATCAGAGGCAATAGAAAACCTTGCTCAGTTAGTAGACCTGGGTTTTCCTTGCAGCATCTCAGCACTCAGAAGGCTAAGGCAGGAAAACTGTGATTTCCAGGTCACCCTGGGCTACATAATAAAAAAAACCAAAACCAAAAACAGACAAACAAAAATCTTTGGTGCTGGGGTTGGAGAGCTGGTTCAGTGGTTTAGAGCACTGGCTACGCTTGTAGAGGACCCAGGTTCAGTTCCCATCACCCACATGGCAGCTAACAACCATCTGTAACTACAGTTGCAGGAGATCTGATGCCCTCTTCTGGCCTTTGTGGGCATTGCATGCATATAGTGCACTTACACACATGCAGGCAACACACTCATACACAAAAAAACATTGAGTTTCAGGGGCTGGAGGGATGGCTCAGCGGTTAAGAACACTGTTCTTGCAGAAGACCCTGGTTTGAATCCCAGCACCCACATGGCAGCTAACAACTGTCCGTAACTCCAGTTCCAGGGGATCTGACAGCCTCTTCTGTCCTCCAAGGGCATTGCACAACACAGGTGCACTTACCTACATGCAGGCAATACACATACACATAAAAATAATAAATGAAAATTTTTTTGTCTTTTTGACACAGGGTCTCCCTGTAGCCCCAGCTGTCCTGGAACTAGCTATGTAGACCAGGCGGGCCTTGAACTCACAGAGTTCTGCTTGCCTTTGCCTCCCAAGTGCTGGGATTAAAGGCGTGTGCCATCACGCCCAGCCTAAATTTTTTTAAAAAACAATTTTTTAAAGATTCTTTTAAAAAAATTAGCCAGGCGTGGTGGGTGCATGCCTTTAATCCCAGCACTTGGCAGACAGAGTCTCGTGGATCTCTGTGGGTTTGAGGCCAGCCTGGTCTACATAGCAAGTTCCAGGTCAGGTGGGGCTATAGGGAGACCCTGTCTCAAAAAGACCAAGAAAAAAAATTGAGTGTCTTTGTGCAAGTCACTTAGGCTTTAGGAGCCAAACCTCAGTTGCCCCATCTGTCAAATAAAGATAACAGCTTTCCCATTCCTTCAGTGGGTTATCTGTAGGGTTGGGCTGTGGCTCAGTTGGTAGAGTGCTTGCCTAGCATGCATGGGTTCCATCCCAGCAATGGACTACATAAATGGGGTGTGGTGGAACATGCATTTCGTCTCAGCACTCTGAAGATGGGGAGGTAGAAGATCAGGAGTTCAATGTCATCCTTGAATACATAGGGAGTTTGAGGTCAGCCTAGGCTACATGTAAGCCTGTTTCAGAAAAAAAAGTTTATAGTGGGGCTGGAGAGATGGCTCAGGGGTTAAGAACACTGGTTGTTCTTGCAGAACACCCAGGTTCGAATCCCAGCACCCACATGGCAGCAATAATGACTGTCCATAACTCCAGTTCCAGGTGATCCGATGTCCTCTTCAATCCTTGTGGGCATTGCATGACACAGGTGCACTAACCTTTACACTCATACACATGAAATATACATAAAATAAAAATAATAAATATTTTTTAAAAAGTTTATAGTGTTCTTTTTAAATTTTTTAAAAATTTGTTTTATTTATTTATATTTATGTGTATGAGTGTTCTGCCTGCATGTGTGTGTTGCTGCCCATGTGCGAAATGCCTACAGAGGCCAGAAGAGCACATAAGATCCCCTGGAACTGGAGTTATGGACAGTTGTTAGGGTGATGAGAACTGAACCCGGGTCCTCTGCAAGAGCACCCAGTGCTCTTAACCATTGAGCTGTTGCTCTGGGCCCTGTAATATTTCTTTTTATTTTAATTTTTTATTTTATTTATTTTTTTCTTTTTGGTCATTTTGTAGCAGGGTCTCCCTGTAGCCCCAGATATCCTGGAACTCACTATGTAGACCAGACTGGCCTCGAACTCACAGAGATCCACCTGCCTCTGCCTCCTGAGTGCTGGGATTACAGGAGTGCGCCACCACACCCAGTGGTAACATTCCTTTTTATGTCAATGACTAAACACAGTGCAGCCACTAGGGAGGCTGGAGTGGAAGGGTGAGCTTCTCACCTCAAGCACTTCAAGCCAGGCGTGGTGGCACACGCCTTTAATCCCAGCACTGGGGAGGCAGAGGCAGGTGGATCTCTGAGTTCGAAGCCAGCCTGGTCTACATAGTGAGTTCCAGGACAGCTGGGGCTACAGGGAGACCCTGTCTCAAAAAGACCAAAAAAAAAAAAAACCCAAAAACTTCAAAACATTTTAAGAGCTGGGGGCATAACTCAGGGGTAAGGTGCTTACCTAGTATGTGCATTGCTCTGAGTTCTAGCTCCAGGATTCTAAAAATAAGGACAACAAAATTGTTGCTTAATGGCCTCCTGGCTGTGCGGCCTTGACCAAGTGGCTTGACCTCTCTGTGCATTGCTTCTTCCATTGTGGTGACTGATAAATTTTTCAAATATGCCCACTGCCTCTGTCTTAGGGCAGTGCTAGATTCCAATAGAGGTGTCCTGGGTGATTCTCATGACTACTTTCTCTTGGCTCCTGCTTGTCTCCTAAGACTTGGTTAAAGCCTGAGTCTGGCTTGAGGAAGGAATAATGAGGCCCAAGTGGGCTCTGTCGTCGCCCCTGGCAGCCCTGCAGGAAGCCTCCCTTCCCCAGTAGAACACTGTGCATCCAGGCTGGGCTAAGGTTAAGGCTCAGTTTTTTTCCCCCTAAACTGACCTGGAGGTAGAGGCAAGCGGATCTCTGTGAGTTCAAAGCCAGCCTGGTCTACATAGTGAGTTCCAGGCCAGCTGGGGCTACAGGGAGACCCTGTCTCAAAAACACCAAGAAAAACAAAAAAACAAAAGTGTGGTAGCTGGTGTTCACGCAGCATATGTGGAGCCTGCCATTGCACCTAGGGCCTGCACAAGGCTGACACTAAGCCACCTGAGGGGCCACTTCATGATTGTTACATCCCAGACAGGGAGACAGAATTTTCAGGCCAGCCTAGGCTACAGAGTGAGGCCCTATATCAACCTCCCTCCTCAAATTAGTAATGATACCAAAAAAATGTACAGCAGTAAAATGTACAGTGCAAATAAATGAATGAATGAGTGAGTGAGCTGGACTATTTATTTATTTTGAGACAGGGCCTCACTCTGTAGCCCCAACTGGCCTAGAACTTACTATGTAGATCAGGTTGGCCTGGAACTCACAGAGTTCCATTTGCCTCTGCCTCCCAAGTGCTGGGATTAAAGGCATGTGCCACCATGCAGGGCAGGTGGACAAACAGTGAACCTCTAGTGATGGGTGCTGCGGGACACAGAAACATGGTAAAGTCTAGTTGGGTCTGGTATGTGTGGGCCAGAGCTAGGATGATCTAGTTAGATCTGGGAGTGGATGAGTGGGTGGATAGACTGATGGACTGATGGATGGGTAGATGGAATGATGGATGGATGGATGGATGGATGGATGGATGGATGAAAGAGTGGATGGGTGGATTGGCAGGTGGATGAACACACGAATGGATGGGTAGGTGGGTGGATGGGTAGGTGGGTGGATGGATGAAAGAGTGAGTGGATGGATTGGTGGATGGGTGGTTAGGTGGATTGGGTAGATGGATGGGTGGATTTGTAGGTGGATATATGGGTGGATGATTGGATAGATGGATAGCTGGCTGAACAGATAGATGCATGGAGAGATGGAGGGATGGGCGTACTGATTTGCAGACGGATGGATAAGTGGGTGGGGTGATGGGTGAGTAGGTGGATGAAAAGATAAATGGCCTGGAGTCCCATCCTTCCATCCAGGCACTCCAGATCGCTAATAGAACCTGAGGAGGGGGTCACTGTCCCATCCAAGTCGTGCCCTTTCCAGCCCTTTCAGGGTTCTTCACATCCAGCTCAGACTACACTGCTCACCTGGTAGCCTTCCCTTTAAGACGCGCTCACCTGGAGGCTCACCTGGGCGCAGGCGCTTCCGCAGGAAGAAGGAAGCCGCACCGCCTCTCGCGCTCGCTCCCCGCCTCCCAGCTTCTTCGGCCACCACCATGTCGGCCTCTGCAGTCTTCATTCTGGACGTTAAGGGCAAGGTGAGGCAGTGGGCGAGGGATCGGGGGTGGGGCTGCACCAGGTGAGACTGCCTTTTCCGAGCACAGACCGGGAGCATTGGGGACTCCCTGCAAACCCGGGATCCCGGGACCAATCCCAGCCCCGCCTTCTCCAGCCTGGCGTTTGCACCGAGGGGGTTAGTCTCTCTGAGCCTCAGTTTCCCTGTACGTAAAATGGGAATAAGATAGATCTCCACCCTGGAACACCCTGAACTACTTAGGATAGCCCAGCCGCAAACTTTGGAACTCAATAAATGCGCACAGTCCTAGGGCAGGACTTTCCCCTCCCAAGCTTCCTTAGCCCTGGAGTTGAAAGTTAGTCTTTTAAGAAAACCACAGAGCGCCGGACGAGGTGGTGCACGCCTTTAATCCCAGCATTTAGGAGGTAGAGGCTGGCGGATCTCTGTGAGTTCAAGGCCAGCCTGGTCTACATAGTGAGTTCCAGGCCGGTTGGGGCTACAGGGAGACCCTGTCTCCAAAAACAAACAAAAAAAGAAAACCACAGATCTGGTAGTTCAGTGGGTAGAGCGCTCCCCTAGTATGTATGAAGCCCTGAGTTTCATCCCCAGCATGGCATATGCTTGAATCAGGTGTGATGGTGCAGGCTGGTCATCCCAGCACTGGAGAGGTTGAGGCCCGAGGGGGAGAAACAAGTTCAAAGTCATCTTTGATCATTCTGAGAGTTTGAAGCCAGCCTAGGCTACCTGAGACCCTGTCTCAAAACCAAACAGGACAGGGCAGGTGACTCAGCCTGTAAAGGCTCTGGTGATATGAGTTCGATCCCAGGAGCCCTTGTAAGGGCGAATAGAGACAATTAACTCCTCAGAGTTGTCCTCTGACCGCCAGACATGCACCATAGCACTTACACAAAATAATAATAATAATCATAGATTTAAAAAAAATAATGACAGGAGAGCCAGGTGTGGTACCATGCTTGTTCTAACTGCTGAGACAGGAGTTAGAACTCCTGGAGTTAGTCTAACTGCTGATCTCTGGACTGCAAGGTCAGCCTGGGCTACAATATCAAGATAAAACAAAGAAAGTACCCTTGAACAAGTATGGTTCTGTAGGGGTGGTTCAGTTCTGCTTATGGACATAATTTAAAACCTCTACTTCTTCAGTGTGGTAGACATACATGAAGACACCTGCCTGGAAAGGAGGTGGCCGGAACCAAACTCCTTAGCAAATAGCCAGGTTCTCTGCCTTCTCCTCCTCCTTTTTTTTTTTTTTCCAGATAGTGTCTCACGTAGCCCAGGCTGGCCTCAAACTCACTATGTAGCTGAGAATGGCCTTGCACGTCCTATCCTCCTGCCTCAACCTCCCCACAAAGTCATCATACACTAGTAGATAGAAAGCCGATGGGGCTCAGTGTGCACCCTGAATGCATCAGCTATGGTTATGTACCCACTTGACAGGCAGAAAAACTGAGGCACATAGAGGCAAAGCCTTACCTATTTCCCTTGGCTAGGAAGTCTAGCTGGAGTTAGACTCTAAAAATGTCAGGGTGGACATTCCTGTAATCCCAGTACTCAGAAGGCTGAGGCAGGAGGATTGAGAGTTTAAGACTAGCCTGGGCTATGTAAGGAAACATTTTTTTCTTTGGTCTTTTTGAGACAGGGTCTCCTTGTAGCCCCAGCTGTCCTGGAACTCACTATGTAGACCAGGCTGGCTTCGAACTCACAGAGATCCACGTGCCTCTGCCTCTTGAGTGCTGGGATTAAAGGCATGCGCCACCAGCCAGGCTGTAAGGAAACTCTTAATCAATCAACCAGCCAATCAGTTGAAGGAAATGAGAAACAGGCTTGGGATGTAGTTTATTTGGTAGAGAACTCACCTAGCTTGTAATTCCAGCACTGGAGAAGTAGAAGCAGGGAGATCAGGATTTCAAGGTCATCCTCTGATTGAATCCCCAAACTCAGAGGCAGAGGCAGGCTGGTCTACATAGCAAGTTTCAGGCCAGCCAGGGTTCCATAGTGAGACCTTGTCTTAAAACAAAACAAAATCGGGGCTGGAGAGATGGCTCAGCGGTAAAGAGCACTGACTCCTCTTGCAGAGGACCTGGGTTCAGTTCCCAGCACCCACATGGTGGCTACAAACCGTCCTTAACTCCAGTTCCAGGGGAATCCGAAGCCCTTTTCTGACCTCCACGGCATTGTACCACATGGGTGCACTCACAAACATGCAGGCAATACACTCATACACATAAAATAAAAAAAATAAACATTTAAAAAAACACAGAAAAAACCCAAAACAGAATCAAACAAGACATAGCATTTCCAAGTCTAGCTTGGGCTACAGGAAACCCTGACTCAGCGCCACCTCCCAGATGAAAAAATAAAAAAGAGGGAGGAGAGATGTAGGTGGTGGATCTGGACACTGGTTGTGACTGGGTCCTATCCACCCACCCTCAGCCCCTGATCAGCCGCAACTACAAAGGAGATGTGCCCATGACGGAGATTGACCACTTCATGCCATTGCTGATGCAGCAGGAGGAGGAGGGCACACTGGCCCCACTGCTGAGCCATGGGCATGTGCACTTCCTGTGGATCAAACACAGCAACCTCTACTGTATCCATTCCACACTGGTCCCCAGAAATGGGGAGTACTAAGAACTCAGGACCAGAGAGGGTTGTATGGGGGATGGAATTTCTACAGCACATGTGACACCGGTTGTGCATGGGGCAAGGGCTGGTAGACATGGGGCGTGGTCATGTGGAACAGAGGGGAGTGTGGAGGCTGTATTCCATGTGACCTCTCCACTCCAAAACAGCACTTCATCCTTAACCTTGCTGCCCCCAGTGGTGGCCACCACACTGAAGAATGCCAATGCCTCTCTGGTGTATTCCTTCCTATACAAGACTGTGGAGGTAGGTACTCGCTTCTCATTGGCTGGCTGCTCTGTCTGTCTAATTGTGCCAACCCCTGTCTGACTCTTGTCTTCCCTGTCAAAGCCTCTTCACTCTTCTCTCTCTACCTGCTTCGGTGGTGGGAGGGGGAATCAGTCCTCTTTGTAGGACCCAAGAGAGTATATGGTCAGGATCCAAATCATAGGGCTTGGGGTCCAATTCTCTACTGTGTGTGACTTTCCAGAAGTCACTGTCACTGGTCTTTCTTTAGGCACACCTTTAATCCCAGCACTCAGGAGGCAGAGGCAGGTGGATCTCTGAATTCAAGGCCAGCCACATCTACATAGTATACATAGTAAGTTCCAGGACAGCTTGGGCTACAGGGACACCCTGTCTCAAAAAAAGACCAAAAAAAAAAAAAAAAAAAAGTTTATTTATTTGAGGGGCTGGAGAGATGGCTCAGCAGTTAAGAGCATCGACTACTCTTGCAGAGGACCCGGGTTCGATTCCCAGCACCCACATGGAAGCTAACAACCATCCAGAACTCCAGTTCCAGGGGATCTGACACCCTCTTCTGACTTCCTCAGGCATTGCACAATGCAAGTGCACTTACATACGTGCAGGCAATACATTCTTACACATAAACTAAAAAAAAAATAAAATATTTTGAAAATTATTCATTTTGTGCTGGAGAGATGGCTCAGTGGTTAAGAGCATTGGCTTTTCTTATAGAAGACCCAGGTTTGAATCCCAGCATCCACATGACAGCTAACAACCATCTGTAACTCCATTTCCAGGGAATCTGACCACTCTGTCCTTCTTGGGCACTGCATGACATGGGTGTGTTTACATACATGCAGGCATAACATTTGTACACATAAAAATAAATTTAAGCCAGGCATGCTGGCGCACGCCTTTAATCCCAGCAGTCCGGAGGCAGAGGCAGGCGGATCTCTGTGAGTTCGAGGCCAGCCTGGTCTACATAGTGAGTTCCAGGACACCTGGGGCTACAGGGATACCCTGTCTCAAAAAGACCAAAAAAAATAAAAAATAAAAAATAAATAAATAAAAATAAATAAATTTTAAAAATTAGAAGAATATTTGTTTTGTGTATATGACTGTTTTGCCTGCATGTTGGTAAGTGCACCACATTTGTGTGATGTCCACTGAAATCAGAAGAGGGGATCAGATCCCCTGGAATTGCAGTTACAGATAGCCGTTAGCTACCACGTCGGTGCCGGGAGTCAAGCCCGGGTCCTCTGCAGGAGTAGCCACTGCTCTTAACTGCTGAGCCATCTCTCCAGGACCCTCTTTTTGGCTTTTTAACATTATTATTTTGACTTTTTAACATTATTTGTTTACTTTGTATATGTGTGTGACTGCATCTGAGCCAGGGTGCATGTGTGGATGTGAAAGGACAACTTTCGGGAGTCGGTTCTCTCCTTCCACTGTGGGTCCTGGTGATTGAACTCAGGTCATCATGCTTGGCTGCAGCAGCTTTTACCAATGAAGTTATCTCACCAGCCCCGGGGTTTATCATTTATTTATTTTGATTGTTTTGAGATAGGATTTCCCTGTAGCCCCAACTGACCTGGAACTCACTATGTAGACCAAGCTGGCCTCAATCTCAAGAGATCCCACCTCTGCCTCCCAAGTGCTGAGATTAAAAGTGTGCACCACTACACCCGGCTTGCTTCTTATTTGTTTTTTTTGCCACACTGCATAGACCCAAGATCATTATGGATGCTAGGTAAACCCTCTACTGCAGAAATGCATCTCCAGCCCTGTGTCTTATTTTGAATAATTTTGTGCAGGAATCAAAGTCAAAGGTAATGCTATTCTCCACTTGTGGTATATATGGCCAAGGATAAAGTTTCCAGTTTTTACCAGGTGCGGTGGTGCACACCTGAAATCCCAGTTCTCAGGAAGTAGAGGCAAGAGGATCAGGATTTCAAGGTTATTTTCAGTTATATAGAAAGTTCTAGACCAACCTGAGCTACATAAACATGAGACCCTATTTCTTTTTTTAAAAAATATATTTTAAAAATATTTTATTTATTTTTATTTTATGTATATGCGTGTATTGCCTGCATGTAGGTAAGTGCACCCATGTTGTGCAATGTCCGAGGAGGACAGAAGAGGCTGTCAGATCCCCTGGAACTGGAGTTATGGACAGTTGTTAGCTGCCATGTGGGTGGTAGGACATGAACCCAGGTCTTCTATAAGAACAACCAGTGTTCTTAACCGCTGAGCCATCTCTCCAGCCCCGAGACCCTATTTCAAAAAAAAAAAAAAAATTCTAATTTTGGAGACTTTTACTTTCAGATAATTTTTCAGACTGTGTATGCTCATCCCCAGGGGCCCTATATGTGTTTGTGTGGGTATGTGCACATGAGTACGGTTTCTGGAAAGGCCAAAAGAAGGTGTCATATTCCTTGCAGTCAGAGTTATAGGCAGTTGTGAGCTTCCCAATGTGGGTGCTGGGAACTAAACTCAGGTCCTTTGCTCTTAACCACTGAGCCATCTCTCCAGCCCTCCCAGAGGCTCTTAACATAGGATCACAGAGCCTCCAAGACCCTGTGGGTAGATTTCAGTTCATCTATGAACTTTGCTGTTTCTTTGGAGGGGCTCCTTTGCTGATCAGAGGAGTAGGTAGGTGCTCATCTACCATGTGGGAACTCTTGTTTTCTGGTTTCACATAAAGTGCCCCTACCTGTTGAGCCATCTCTCAGGCTTATTTGTTTCTTTTTTTTTATTTTTTTTTTATTTTTGTGTTTTGAGACAGGGTCTCCCTGTAGCCCCAGCTGCCCCAGAACTTTCTACATAGATCAGGCTGGCCTTGATCTCATAGAGATCTGCCTGCCTCTGCCTCCCAATTGCTGGAATTAAAGGCGTGCACCACCACACCCATCTTGGCCTGTTTTATTTATTTTTCTCCCATTCTGGGAATTGAATCCAGGTTATCCTATGTTCCTATAAATTTTATTTTACTTTATACATTTTGCACACCTCACTGGTCTCTCCACACCATCAAGTAGATAGTTAAACAATGGTTTATGGATCATGCACAGTACACACACATTTCTTAGGGCAAGATAGTGCTTATCTGTCATCCCTAAACTTTGAAGGCTGAGGTAACCGAATGAAAAATTCATATCTCGGCTACATAACCAGACCCTGCCTTAAAAAAAAAAAACAAAAAAAACAGCAAGGTCTGGCCAAGTGTGGTGATATACACCTGTAGTCCCAGCACTCAGGAGGCAGAGACAGGTGGATCTCTGTGAGTTCCAGACCTGTCTGGTCTACATAGTAAGTTCCAGGCCCAACTAGGCTATATAGGGAGACTGTGTTTCAAAAACAGAAACAAAAACAAAAGGAAGCAAGGTCTGGCTCATGCCTTGAATCCTAACACTCAAGAGGTTAAGAGGCAAGTCTGTCTCTGTTAGCCAAGGCTACCCAGTAAGACTGTCTCAAAACAAAATTTAAAAAAACAAGGTCTGCAGGGCATGGCTCCTTAATAGAGCCCCTGCTTAGAATGCCTAGACTCCCCCAGTGAGGGGCTGGGGATGTGGCTAAGTGGTAGAACTCAGACGTGGCATGAGCAGGGTCCTATGTTCCTCTGTCTCGGCAACCATTCCCATACCCACAGAAGTCATCTAACCTCACTCTAGCAGCTTTGCCTGATCCTTCCAGGTCTAGGTTCTACCTCTGTTGTTTCCCTTGTCACTGCTCTTCTCATACTGGATGGCATTGGCCCTGTGACTTGTCCATTCTTTTCATTATTAGATTGCCCGGTGAGAGAGTGACTATCTGCTTTCTTCACCATGTGCAGCCCAGGCACACAGTGGATGATCCACAATTGCTTATTGGCTGGCTGTGAGACCGAGTGTATTCCCAGATTATTAGGTTGTCTGTCTCCTGGAACTTTTTCAGGTCTTCTGTGAGTACTTCAAGGAGCTGGAGGAGGAGAGCATCCGTGACAACTTCGTTATTGTGTACGAGCTGTTGGACGAATTGATGGACTTTGGCTTCCCGCAGACCACAGATAGCAAGATCCTGCAGGAGTGAGTGGGCCAGGGCTGGCCCTCTAGGTTGTGCATGTGCACAACCCGGAAAAGGGAGGTGTCCTTCTGTCTAACTGCTAGAAACGCAGCCCCCCTTCAATTCCCAACAGGTACATCACACAACAGGGCAACAAGCTGGAGACAGGCAAGTCTCGGGTGCCACCCACTGTTACCAATGCGGTGTCATGGCGCTCTGAAGGGATCAAGTACAAAAAGAATGAGGTGTTCATTGATGTCATAGAATCTGTTAACCTCCTGGTGAGTCTCCACACCTCTTGCCCTGGGGCAGGAGAGGAGGACCCTCTACATGATGACAGCTCACCTTGGGATGTTTCTATCCCATTTGCAGGTCAATGCAAACGGGAGTGTCTTGCTCAGCGAGATTGTGGGCACCATCAAGCTCAAGGTCTTTCTCTCTGGGATGCCAGAGCTGCGACTGGGCCTCAATGACCGTGTGCTCTTTGAGCTCACTGGCCGTAAGATTTGGGGGACCCCCTTCCAGACAGGGGTGGGCAAAGAAACAGCCAGTTCTAAATGCTCACATACCTTCTGATGATCGAGTCCAGTATTGCGGTGATAAAATTCACCTAGCAAATATTTTCTCATTAATGAGTGCCACTGTGTTCCAGGCCCATCTCTGGCTGTCACATTCTAGTGGCATAGACATATTAATAACATATTTAAAAGCCTAACAGAGAGCTGGATGTGGTGGCACACACCTTGGGAGGCAGAGGCAGGTAGATAACTGTGAAATTGAGGCCAGCCTGGTCTACATAGCAAATTCCAGGCCAGCAGGAGCTATAGGGAGATCCTGTCTCAAAAAGGCCAAAAAACAGGGGGCTGGAGAGATGGCTCAGTGGTTAAGAACACTGGTTGTTCTTGAAGAAGACCCAGGTTCAAATCCCAGCACCCACATGGCAGCTAACAACTGTCTGTAACTCCAGTCCCAGTGGATCCGACAGCCTCTTCTGAACTCCGCGGGCATTGCACGTCACGGGTGCACTTACCTACATGCAGGCAATACACACATACCCATAAAATAAAAATAATTAAAAAAAAAACAAACAGAAAAATGAGGCTGGAGAGATGGCTCAGTGGTTAAGAGCACTGACTGCTCTTGCAGAGGATTCGGGTACAATTCCCAGCACCCACATGGAGGCTACGAACCGTCCTTAACTCCAGTTCCAGGGAAATCTGAAGCCCTCTTCTGTCCTCCGCAGCATGGCATGACACGGGTGCACTCACATACATGCAGGCAATACACTCATACACATAAAATAAATAAATAAAAATAAATAAAATATTTTTTAAAAAAAGACCAAAAAACAGTCTAACAGAGCCAGGCAGTGGCCCATGCCTGTAATCCCGGCACTTAAGGCTGAGGCAGGAGGTTTATCTTCCTCCCTTAGTGAGTTCCAAGCCATCACCAGTTATTTAAGAGGTAGACAGATATTTAGGAATTAACTACCCTAATCAACAAGTTCCAGGCCAAATGAGAGATCCCATCTCAGAAAAGTAACAACAAATAAAGTGGATTGTACCTGTGAAATGGATGCCTGAGGTTGTCCTCTGATGGCCACACAGGCACATACACAAGTGCACATGTAAATACACTTAGAAATGTGCACACACACTCAGAACAAAACCAGTTAAAAAGCAAACCTAGCCAGGCATGGTCTCAGTTGGGAGGAAGAGGCAGGAAGATCAGGAGTTCAAGGCCATCCTTAGCTACATAGGAAATGTGCAGCCAACCTGGGCTACATGGAGAGTTCCAGGTCATCTAGGGCTATATAGTGAGACCCAGGCCAATTGGCAGCAGAAAGCAAGAGAGATGTGGAAGACAGAGATGCATGTGGTACGCGCAGGCCCACACTCACACCGCACACAGTGTTCTAGTCTGTTTCTCCATTGCTGTGACAAAACACTCTGACCAATACTAACTTGGGGAGGAAAGGGTTTATTTTATCTTACATCTCCCAGGTCACAGTTCATCAGGGAACTCAGGGCAGGAACTTGGAGGCAGGAGCTGGAGCACAGGCCATGGAGGAACGCTGCTTACTGGCTTGCTCCCCTGGCCCCTGCTCAGCCTACTTTCTTATGACACACAGGCCCACCTGCCCAGGGGTGGCACTACCTGGGGCTGGGCCCTCCCACATCACTCAACAATCAAGAAGATGCCCCACAGACATGGCCACAGGCCTTTCCAATGAAGGCAATTCCCCAATTGAGGCTTCCTCAACCCAGGTGTGTCAAGCTGACACTAAAGCTATTCAGCACACACAGTAATAGTAACAAATATATGTATGAAAAAATTAAAAGGACTGGTGAGATAGCTTAGTGGGTAAAGGTGCTTGCCACTGAAACTGGTCATGTGAATTCAATCCCTGGGACCCACATGATGGAAGGAGAGAACAGTCTCACGCAAGTTGTGTCCTGACCTCCATTCTAATCCAGTGGCAAGCACACCTTACCCTCCAAATAAACAAATGTAATATTGTTTTTTAAAAAGGAGAGGTGGGGAGCAATTAAGGAAGACACCCAACATCAACCTCTGGCCTCCACATGCACATGCATACCTGTGCACATGCATGATTCATTCATACACAAAGAGTATATGATATTCACATCTACACATACACAGAGAAAAGGAAAATTAGGGACTGGAGAGATGGCTTAGCAGTAAAGAATACATAATGCTCTTACAGAAGACCAGAATTCAATTCCCACCATCCACATGGAAGCTCACAACCTCCTCTAACTCCAATTCCAGAGGATCCTATGCCGCCTTTTGCTTTCTGTAGCCACCTGCACCCACATGCACATACACACACAGACACACATATATATATGCATAATTAAAAATAAGAGCTGAGGGGGCTGGAGAGATGGCTCAGTGGTTAAGAACACTGGTTGTTCTTGTAGAAGACCTGGGTTCGAATCCCAGCACCACATGGCAGCTAACAACTGTAACTCCAGTTCCAGGGGATCTTGACAGCCTTTCTGTCTTCCGAGGGCATTGCACGACACGGGTGCACTTACCTACACCCAGGCAATACATGCATACACATAAAATAAAAATATTTTTTAAATGTCAAAAAATAATAAAAATAAGGGCTGAACCTCGGCATGGTGGCAAACTGGGGCTCAAATCCCAGCACCCACATGGCAGCTAATAACTGTCCGTAACTCCAGTTGCAGGGGATCTGAAACTCTTCTGTCCTCCTTGGGCACTGCATGACAGACGTGCACTTACATGCAGGCATAATACATAACACATAAAAAAAAAATCCTCCAAATAAAATAAAATGGAGCCCTTAATCCCAGTACTCTGGAGGCAGAGACAGGCAGATCTCTGTGAGATCAAGGCCAGCTTGGTCTACATAGTGAGTTCCAGGCCAGCTGAGGCTACTGGGAGACCTTGTCTCAAAATAAACAAAATAAAAAGCAGAGACTGTAAACCTGGCAGTGTGAGGCAGATTCTCTGGGCCAGTGTCCCAGCCCTCTGCCAACTTGGCTTCTCTGTCATCAGCTTCCTTTACTGCATAGGGGTGGGGGTAGGAGCTAGTAGGGATGGTGGGGCTGGAGCCCCCCTCCACAGCTCCAGGGTCACTGTGCATGCTTGGTTCTGAGTTTCAGGCAGCAAGAACAAGTCTGTGGAGCTAGAAGATGTGAAATTCCACCAATGTGTTCGGCTCTCTCGCTTTGACAACGACCGCACCATCTCCTTCATCCCCCCTGATGGGGACTTTGAACTCATGTCCTATCGCCTCAGCACCCAGGTGAGCCCAGGGGCCAGCCCAGCACAAGTAGGGATGTGTGGAGGGTCACCCCTAATCTTTGAGGACTTTCTGTCTGCAGGTCAAACCCCTGATCTGGATCGAATCGGTCATTGAGAAATTCTCCCATAGCCGCGTGGAGATCATGGTCAAGGTGTGTCCTGGGGGAAAGCCTCTCAATGCAGGTTCCACACTGTTTGATTTTATTTTTATATTGCTTTTATTTATTTATGTGTGTATATGTGTGTGTCACAGCACATGTGTGGGGGTCAGAGTACGAGTTGGGGGACTTAGTTCTTTATTGCCACCATGTGGGTCTCAGAAAGGTTGAACTCAGGTCTTCAGCCAGGGCCATAAGCACCTTTACCTATTGAGCTATATTGTTGACCCATGTTTTTAAATTTTTATTTACTTTTTAATTTTTTTTCTTTCTTTTTTTTTTTTTTTTTTTTTTTTGAGACAGGGTCTCCCTGTAGCCCCAGCTGTCCTGGAACTCACTATGTAGACCAGGCTGGCCTTGAACTCACAGGGATCTGCCTGCCTCTGCCTCCCGAGTGCTGGGATTAAAGGTGTGTGTCACCACGCCCGGCTACTTTTTAATTTTTATTTTATGTGTATGTGTGTTTTGCCTGCATGTACGTAAGTGCTCTATGTACATACAATATTCACAAAGGCCAGAAGAGGGTGTCAGATCCCCTGGAAGTGGAGTTGTAGACGGTTGTTAGCTCACATGTGGGTGCTGAGTACTGAACCCTTGTCCTCTGCAAGAGCAGCCAGTGCTCTTAATTGTTGAGCCAATTCTCCAGCCCTCATTGTTTATAAAATTTTTGATGTAGGGTCTTGCTGTGTAGTTCTAACTGGCTTTAAACTTGCTATGTGTCCCAGACTGGCCTTGAACTTGCAAAGATCCTGCCTCAGTTTCCTGAGCGTTGAGATTATAAGCTTGCACCACCATACCTGTCTGTTAAAAAGTTGGTTTTGCTAGGCATGGTGGTTCACACCTTTAGTCCCAGCACTTGGGAGGCAGAGGCAGACAGAGCTCTGTGAGTTCCAAGCCAGCCTGGACTCCATAGTGAGTCCAGGCCAGCAGTGGCTACAGGGAGACCCTGTCTCAAAAAGATAAAAAAAAAAAAAAAAGTTTTTAAAAAAATTAAATTAATATCATTATTATTATTTTGAGTCAGGCTCTCTCTGGCCCCAGATAGCCTTGAACTCACTACATAGACCAGGCTGCCCTGGACCTGACAGACCTAACCAGCCTCTGCCTCCTGAGTGCTGGGATTAAAGGACTGTGCGCCACCAAGCCTGGCCCAACTTTTATTTATGTTTTTATTTTCAGTTATGTTTGTGGAGTGTTGGTTTGTCCACATGAGTACAGGTGCCTGTGGAGAACAGAAGAGGAGGTCAGAGTCCCTGGAGCCAGAGTTACAGCAGGTGTTAACCATCTGACATGGGTGCTGGGAGACCAAATTGGGTCTCTGCAAGAGCAGTACTCACTCTTAACCACTGATCTGTCTTTCCCTTAGAAAGGTTTTTATTAGCATATATGGTTTTTACTTTATTTCAAACATCTGTTTGTATGCATGGTGTGTGTGTGTATGAGGTTGTGGATGTGCAGGTGAAGCAAGAGTGTGTGTGTGCTTGTGGCTGTGGGTATGCAGGTGCCAGAGTAATGTATATGGAAGTCAGAGGACAACTTGTGGGAGTTGATTCTCTTCTTCCACCATGTGGGTCCTGGAGATGGAAGTCAGGTCGTCAGCTTGTTGGCAAAGTGCCTTTACCTGCTGAGCCATCTCACTAGCCCCTTTCTTAGCATCTATTATTTGTACACAATAATTGGTTCATTATAACATTTTTCCCACATTGTCCTAGTTACTTGCTGTTGCTATAATAAAAACCGACCAAACCAACATGGGGAAGAATTTATTTTATCTTACATCTCCCAGGTCACAGTTTATCACTGAAAGAACTAAGGGCAGGATCTTAGGGCAGGAACCTGGAGGCAGGAGCTGAAGCACAGACCATAGAGGAATGCTGCTCACTGACTTGCTCCTCTGGCCTGTGCTCAGCCTGCTTTCTTATACCACCCAGGACCACCTGCCCAGGAGTGGTACCACCCACAGTGGGCTGAGCCCTCCCACATCACTCAAGAATCAACAATCAAGAAAATGCCTCCTAGACATGGCCATAGGCCAATTTAATTTATCAACTGAGGTTCCCCCTTTCCAGGTGTGTCACATTGAAAACTGAAACTATCTAGCACAACAGTCATGCACAAAATAAAAATAGAATTTAAAATTATTTTGATATTGAGCCTTAATTTTCAATATTTTATTTATTT